TCACGTGGATTGGGGATGGAGCATTTCCAATCTAACTGATAGACAGACCAACAGTTTAACAGTCGCTTTGTTCAACCCATGCTAATTGTGTATAACTTCAGCGCAATAGTCATAAATGTGTAATATCTTCTTCATACAAAAGTCTCGCATACGTTTTTTCAGAAGCCAATCATCCATGACTTTTCGTCGCTTATTTAACCTGTTGTGTAGGAAATCCAACACATAGATTTTGTGAATTCTAGAATCAAAGACAGGAAGTTTACAGCTTTCTTGTTTCCATATTTACCGAGCGTAGACTACGAGAAACTAGGAAGTCCGAATTCCGTAAACAAAACTTGTGGTCTAGAAAACCCCGACACGGTTGAGGATATGCGCCGCTGATGGGCTCCAATGGGAGCAAAACGAGAGCATAGCACTTCCATCTCTGGCATGGCCTCACCAGAATAGTTGTGTCAGGGCAGGAGGGGGACTTTCTTAGCGAAAGATTTCTCGTATGGGCTCATTGTCACTTACTCTACGCCGTTCGCAGCCACGTACTTTAGGGTGGCAACGTTTTACGGCCAAAAGCAGACTGAAATTTTGTTTGATACTTACTCAGTCCTTTTATGCCCATGCAACGGTTTCCTATCCGGGAAACACCTCGTGTATTGTACCTCAGAAAGAATTAGATCCCATCTTCATTACTAATTTCGCTTCATGCAAATGTTCCGAAAAACTGGGCGTTCAGGTGCCTTCATTGGCGGCTGATCAGGTGGTTGTTAATTTGTTCATCGACCTTGGCATTATATCCACTCACCAATCGAGGTCACATCATCAGTGACACCAACCAACCAGGCACTGCTGAGGTCACCCCGATTGGTTAAAAACGTTTGCAAGCCAATCACAGCTCAGTTTCCACGTGATCAGTCACGCCATCGTAGCTGGATAGCTGTATGCACACTTAGGATATTGAATGGTTGTACAGTCCAATTAGCTAGGATTTATGAAACTTTCAAATGATTCTGTGTGATGCGAAGCTGAAATCGAGGGATAGTCCGACCAAATTAAAGCGACTGACAAAATCAGACAATGTCGGTCAAGCAAGTCGATCCCAAGGAAAATAAATGGAGCGAACGGCATCCTACTTAGTCATGAAGGAGAGAAGAGGGAACAGGACGCATGACAAATAGAAAGGCAATCAAGCTGTCGTGCCTTTTCGTCACTCTGTCCCATTTCATCCCAAGATACAGGGTAAAAACGAGGTTCTCCTGGAAGACAGCGATAATTTTGACAAAAGTTTGAACGCAAAAGGGATGCGAAATCACGATCTCAATCGCGCTGCTGATCATTTGGGACTTAAAAACCAATGCGAAGTTTTACAGATGACATTCGAAAAGAGCGCACCCCAACCAGTGAGATGTCGACCCAGGTATAATAAAAGATACTTCCGTTCTTCCCTAGGTTATACATTAAAAAGCAGACCATCCACACAGATCCAAAAAAGTGAATAAATTTTTCAATGACGCTTGACAAAAAGTATCACTGGTGAAATAAAGAGAAAGATCATCAGTGACGTAATCAGGGCGTTCCCTGGAATAGCCCCCATACGAATCACTCCGTACTGGATGAGACTAAAGATACCGCCAATAGTGTTGATCAACCCGTTCACTGTGCCAAACCGTTGAATTGGAAAGGCGATGAGTACAAAGTTCACGGAAGCGCTGAACAACAAGGAACGCAAAATGACAAAAAATATGAAAGCGATGTAGTAGGTGATCTTTGATTTGATAAAGTTGAGTCCACTCAGAATCGTAGCGGCAAAAGCCAAAACAATAAACGCTGGAGCGATACTACGCAGACTGATCCAGTACAATTCGGCATCCGTCAGGTCACCCTCTTTCAGGCGCCGCATCATATATCGTCGAAAGTAGGCCCTGGAACTGTCCAGAATCACTCCCGAAACGGGCGAGACGAGGAAACCACACATTAGCAAGGCAGAAGAAACCGATACGATGTCGTTGATGGTGTCCTTGTCATCGCCAAATAGAAAGACCATTTGTTGACCCATCTGCGTGAGGAAGTAACAGAAACGAAGTAGGCCGAACATGAACCACAGGGTGACCAGAACGAACGGCCAGGACTTGATGCAGCAAGCGAATGATTTGTAGCGCTTCTCCATGTGCCTCTGGATTCCAACCTCCACTGCATCTCGATCGCTGGACTATCAAATCAAAATAGCGGCATTGAGCGGATGCTTCACAGTTTGGGATGAAACAAGAAAGAACCATAAAGGAAACTAGTCAC